AAAAAAAAAAAAAAATTAGAAATTAAATAAGATAAATTCAAATAATATCATATAATACATTCATATATTAAAAAAATTTTTTTTTTCTTTAAAAGTTATCAAAAATGAACAAATTTATAAAATTTACCGTCGGTGCTATTTTAGCTCTCCTCATCGTTTCTCTTGTTCATGGAGGTAAATATTTATAAAATATATCTTAACTTTTCCTTTCTTAATGTATAAAAGTGTATTTAACCTTTCTTTGGGACTTCCACCAGAACCACTTGTAGCCCGTCAATATGGTGATGATCCATCAGCAGGAACAACAACTTCTTCTACATTATTAGGAGGAAAATTACCAATTCCTGATGCCACTCCAACTGCTTCTGTTGATACCTTCACTGCGGATACAACCTATGGTGCTCCATCTGGTTCCCCATCTGCTCCACCAGTACCAGGTTATACTCCTTCTGGCACCGGTTCATTGATATCACAATGGGCTTCATTAACTGCTAAAGGTGTACCATCAAATCCAACTACTGCCCCAACTGCAACTGCTCCTGCTAAACCAGCTGAAACACCAAATAGCGCAAATAAATTCGAATCTGGTTTAATCAATGTTGCCATAATTGCTGGAATTGTCACTTATTTCTATTAAATCATTAAATTATTATTTATTTAGAAATTTTAATTTTTTTTTTTTTTTAAAAAAAAAGAAAAGATCACAAAATGCCGAAATTTTTATTTTTTATATTTCATTTATTTATTTATTTTTATTAATTTACTTAAATAATTTAGTAATTTAGTAATTAGTTCCTTTTTTATTTATTTTCGTTTAATATATCTTTATAGTAATTAACCCTTATATACCCCTTGATGGTGAGATTATTATGGGAAACTTAATTTTAATTAAATTTTTTTTTAATGGCATTTAACATAAAAAAATTGCATTTATTGTAACAAATTTGATTGGTTTTATAAAAGCTGTAAGACAGAAATAAAAATCTTCTTCTACTTCTACCGATCAAAATTAAAAGCGAATAACTTTTTTTAACGTTTTTTAAAACAATTGAAACAATTGAATACTAAAATAATATAAGCAATATCTAATCTCAAAAATGTGTACCATAAAAATGCCGTACGAACTTTAACCCAACTGAACTGTTAGTAAAGTTGATCGTTTTTTTACATGCTAATCATCAATTTATTTTGTGTCTTATTTAAATTTGATTGGCAAAATCGGCCCAATGGTTAATGTCAACTAATACATACTATACATGATCTGATTTTTTTCCCCCAAGCTTGACAATTTACAGTACAACCTATGAAATTTTCCTCCCTTTACATTTGTAACACGTTATAACACGTTACAAACACGTTACATTAAAGTATACAATAAAAAGAATTAAAGGATTATCATGTATTTTTGTAAATCTGTAGATTTTTTATAGTAAATGACTAAAATTCATTTTGGATTATATTAATTTCATTTTGAAATTATTAAAAGACCTAAATTTAACAATTTTGAAAAAACAAGATTTTCTTAATGCAAGTGAAAAATTAAAATGAAAAAAATTTTTGTTTAAGGTTGATAGAGTTGATAGATAATAAAAAATTAAAATTTGATCTACAGTCGCCACGTTTCAAAGTGTTTTGTTTCGGTATATCTGATTTGGTGAATTCGATATATGATATTCATATTATATACCAAACTGTTCGGTATATAATTAAATTATGGTAGCATATAATATTAAATGTTCGGATGATTACATGACTTACCATAACACTATGATTTATTTATGTGATCATTCGATTTTTTAAGTATTTGTATTTACCAGCTATTCAAATGGGGAATTTGTGGAAATAATTTTCCGCAGATACGTCCATTCTCTTATATTACTAATTAAAGTCACGTGATATTTCGGTATACTAAATATGCTAAATAAGTTAAATAAGTTCGGATGCGGTGTATAGTAATTTATTATGTGATTTCGTGCAATTAATTATAAAAAAAAATTGGTTCAGTACAACAAGTTTTCAATATAACAAGTTTTCGGTACAAACAGGTTCGTTATAACCAGTGGCGACTGTATTGTAAATAAAATTACAACATAATTAATTATAAACAAATCTAGTCAGTGTTGGCACTTGGCCGTTGGCCAGTTTGGCCGGTCAAACTGGGCCAAATGCCAATTCAGCCTTAATAAAATATTTGTATTTTTTTTATTTGGTCAAAATTTGGCCATGGTTGGCCATTGACCGTTTGGAGCCAAACTGGCCAAAAAAATCCTTGGTCGTGGCCTGGCTCATAGTAGTAAAATACACCAACCTTTCTCAAAAATGGTAATCGCATTTGCTCGCCATCCAGTGATCATGGGAAGATAATTAAAAGCTCATTGGATTCGTCATCACAGGACACATCAAATTTTTGTATTTCTGTAATTGATAGATGATGAATTATCCTCAAAAGCCTCTAACATCTAAATTAAAAAATGCCAATAACTTTTCATCTATTGAAGCTAGGACATGAAAATACCACCATTAGATGTTTCTCATCATGATGAATCTAATGAGGTTTAATCTATTCGTCTAAAACCAATAAATAATGTAACGTCTTGATATTTCTGCGTCCAATCGGTAAACATACATTAAAAGATATTGAATTTTCAAAAAATCAATTTTTAAGATGCAAAATGTCAAGGTGCTACATCGTCTATTGATCGTAAAAGGATGAACCAAAGCTGATTAAATTCGTCATGATGAGATGCATCGATTTTCATGTCTCTAGTTTCAATAGATAAAAAGTTATCGTCATTTTTTAGTTTAGAGACTTTTGATGATAAGTGTTAACTAATCATGATCTATATTATATCCCAGAAATAAAAAATATATCATTCGATGCGTCTTGTTACGATGTTTTAATTATCTTTTTTACGATATACGATTCCTTGTAAAAAATTTATTCCGTATTTTTTTTATTCCAAGTTATTTTTACAGAAATTACGGATGAAATTTATTACAGGGATTTATTGTGGTTTTCAAAATTATTGAAATTGATAGATTTTTCATACCCTATAAAAAATTTTTCAGAAAAATGATCACGTGTCTTCGGAATAAAAACTATTGGGATTTACCTCATTTAAAAAAAATTGAATTATACCCGGGTTTAAATCAAAAAAAAAAAATTTTTGTCTAATAAAATATCCGGATATATTACTATGGGGGTAAGCGGAAAAAGGGATCCTTAGGCAGTGCTATACGGTAAGTTATTTTGCAATTTGAACTTTAAGTAGTTTTTCTACCTTTGAGGCCTGATTTTTTTTTTTAGGAATTTTATAATTAATGCAAGAAATGGCCTCGTAACTTTTTAATAAAGTCGTATCCTTAATCTTTATATCCTTTTTTTTCTCAAAATGCAGAATCGTTAAAGCCGCACATCTAATTGAACATGAAATATAAATAAATACATAATGGGTAGTCACAAATCATATCGAATAAATGCTTTGTTAAATTAAAAAATCATTTGCATATTATCATTATTATATTATAGAAATTAATTGATATTATCATCATTATATTTAATTTGAACTTATATTGTCATTATTATAAAAAAATCTAAATTAATAATTTTTATTATATATAACTTGACATAATTTCAATTTATATAGCTGACCGTGCACCGTGCATTTTACATATATTTTCAGGATATTTTTTGTACAATTTCTGTACGAAAAAACACAAAAAAAACACAAAAACACAAAACACAAAACAGATTTCATCTGGAAATTATCTAGGTAATATACGGCGGAAAATGTACGTAAAATATCCCGAAAAAAAAAAATTCACATTGTGAAGAATTTTATCAATTTCAAAACCACAATAATATTCTTAAAAAAAATGCCGTCCAAATACTTTTGGTAGGTGGTGTACATGGTTCAAAAATTTTATGAACAAATTATACAAGAATCCTACCAGGTTCGCCGAATCTCATGAGAACACCTATACAATTCAAGAAAAAATCACGTACCTGTTCGTTATTGAATTCTGATCCGGAGTTCTTAAAAAGCGTTAAAAATACAGCAAAACGAATGTGTTGATCAATGGAAATTCATGCGATTTTTTCAGATTTCCCTCTTTTCTCAAACTTGATACTTATTAAACTTCTTAACGGTAAAGATTCTCCCAGATTCTCTGATAAATATAGTCGCTACAGCCTATCATATGTAATAAAAATCAATAACTACATGTCTACATCTTTTTGAAAACATTTTAAATTTATATAAATAGAACGTATTATCCCATCGGTATTATGTATACACCAATGGATTTTTTTGTAAATTACTCCACCGGTATAAAAAAAAGTATAAAATCCATCGGCGTATACGTCATACACAATGAGATAAGCCTGTTATTACTCCATATACACCGACCCTTCGGCAAGGCATCGGTGAATATTTCAGTTAGCACAAATTTTACCATAATAAAGTGCGCTGATGACTGTATCCGCACATTTAGCCACAAAATTTATGTACGCACGTGCACATTCAAATAAAAAATTGAGGTCGGATTTGCACACATATATTGTGCGCAAATTAATTACCATGCTCGGAGCGAGCATTCCGCACATTAATTTTAGATTTAAACCTATTAATTCATTCATTCTCAAAATGTATCATTTTCAGTACAGTTTATCAAAACAATAAAAAGCAATATATTTGTTCTAAAATAGACAAAGCATTCATTACCATCACCATTTTTATAAGGGATTAAAATTTGAACGCACCTGCGTTTTGAACGCACCTCCCTTTTTTGGAAATTTTTATATAATAAAAATACTGATCATTTTATCACGTGATACCGGCGAATTTCTGATTTTTTTGAATAAACGCAATTTATACCTTATACACCTATAAATAAACTCACGTTATATGCGTATTTTTGCCTCCTCTACAACTTTACTTACTATGACAAAAGGGGTTTAAAACTTCATTTTTGACTTATACCATGGGGGTGCGTTCAAACGCAGGTGCGTTTAAATTTTAAACCCTTTTTATAATTCCTATGATTATCCTAATAAATATTTAAAAGGTGTATCGTACGACAACATTCCCTTTGGCTAATAAGGAAATATACTTATATATATGTCCTCATTGCACATCTTTTATAAAAGCATTGGATTTAAATAAATTTAACCCTTCTAAGGTTCTGATTATAAAATGAGTCACGACGTAATTATTCCCGTAGAAACTACAGATAACCCACATAACGGTAGACCTATTACCAAAATAGAATTATCTCCAAAAAGCCAATATCTCGTTACGTATAGCGAAGAGGACCATTCAATTGTCGGGTGGAATGTAAAAGATATAGATGAAGGAAAACTTAAATTGGACATTTCTGTTAAAATAAGTGATACAATCAAAAATCTGAACCAAATGCGTATTTCCGATGATAAGAAGCTCGTGTATATTTATAATGATAATAAATCTATAGGTAAATAATAATTATTTATAGCGCAAATTCAAAAAAAAAAAATTGTTATATAACTAAATAAATATTTATTTAATGACATTTTGTTAGAAATAATCGATTTGAATAATGATCAAAAAATTGAATTATATTTTTGCAAACATCTTACTTCGTATTATTGTGTCTTTAACCTAAAAGATGAATTTATTTTATACAGTGATATTAATCATTCGGCTGGTGATAATAAAATTATTTGGATTTGTTCTACGCAAACTAAAAATAACAAATGGACATGCAAAAAAATTTACATGATATCTGATGATGTTGAATTGCTTAGTATATCAAAATATGACAAACTTTATCTAATTTCAAATGACTGCATTTACGAATTGAATATTCTTACCGGGAAAAGTATGAAAATATTTGTAAATAAGAATGAGGTAATAAAAATTATTCTGTTCAACTATTCGAAAGTATATAATCACTAATTATTATTTATTATTAGTTGGAAGCAGAAAACGTTAAGATTTTATGTAATGAAATATTTATTTGTCTAAAGATCGATGATAAAATTATTATTTATTCGGTTGAATTAGGAAATCCTATTGTTTCTTTGGATATAAATAACGGTATTGATTGGTTTAAATTAAAAAAAAATTATATTACTACTATTAAGCATTTTTATTAACATCAATCTTTATTTAGATACTCAACTATATAATTTTATGAAACATCCTGGCTTAAATCCTTTATTACTATCATTATTTTCTTTGTTTGATGATGTATCGAGTAGTGAAATTTGGAATTCCATCATGGAAGATTTTTGGAAAGAATTTTTGAAACAATTAAAGGAGAATAATAAACTACCAAACGAATATAATGGAAAAAAATTACCAATTCTACCGATTTTGTTTGATTACACAACTAAATATGCATTTGGAATTCTAGATGGGTTCATTTGGAAGATTAAATTTAAGTTTGATAAAAGGTTTTCATTAAAACATTCTAATGAATTAAATGGTGAAAATGATGAAAGCTGGAACGTCAAATGTGATTATACTTACGAATACTTGAGTATTCTTCTATATACAGATACTATATATGCATTTATTAAAAAAGCAAAAAGTTATAAAGATGAGCATGAATTAATTCAAGATTTAATTAAATGGAAAATAAAGATTGAAAATGAAAAAATTAAATTAGAAGTTTTAAATAAGGATGAAAGTGGTGAATGGAATTCAATTATTACGAGAATTGAAAATTTTAATATTATAAAAAGAAAAGGAATCATTTTACGTGGAATCAAATTATATAATAATGGTGATATTGTCATATTAACAACAATTGGTCTTTTAATTTATCATCTTAACGAAAATAATAAGTCTATTTCTTTGAAATATTTTTATTTCACAGATTTATACTTAAAGAATTCTCCAACAAAACAAGATATAGCAAAATATCAAGAAGATGAAGAAAAATATAAACAAACCATTAAAAAATGCATGAATATTTTACGATATCATTACAAAAAAGTATTTTTAAATTCCACTTTACCTATATCAAATTATAATAGTTTTAAATCAAATGATGAATGGGTTTCATTTGTAATAGATAATAAGGAAAGTCTTTTGAAAAATGGTGTTGAATTGTTAAAATTTGCAATTAAAGAACATAATTTAGAATTGGTAGAAGATATTTACAAAAAATGCATAAGTTATTTTAAACAAGATTTAAGAAATAATAAGATATTTTTAAGTATTGTTACTTCTACATCACAAATATTGAATGAATATTACCCAGAGTATATTTCAAAATATTCATCAGAAACAACCATGATTATAGATTCCCCTTTATATAATATAGAGTATCAAAGTAATGATTTACATCTCTATTCTTTTTCCCAAAATCCTCAATTATTTAATTTGTCTCAATCTATTTTGTGGACAAAATACCAGCATTCACTATTTATAATCACTGAAAAAAGAAAAAAGAAATCAATTGTAATAACAATATTATTTGCAATTCAACTTTTAATATTGCTTTTAATGTTGCCCATTTTTATCCCTACATTTTTTATATTATCAAAATACTATTTTATTAATGATATTTATAGGAATGACATATTTTCTGGAGTGTATTTTGATAAAGTCTTAAAATTTTTAAAAATCAGTTCAAAACATATATCAATTCCTACCATTACTTTTATGGTTCCTTATATTAAGTTTGTTAACTATCCACAAGATTATAAATGGGTTTGGGAATTAATTAGACCTCAACCTAGTCCATTTGCTGAAACAATAAATAGAGAAATTTATAAAACATGGACTGGTGAAGCATTAATTAATTTTAAATGGAATACTTATGGAAAATATTATTATGCAATAATTTGGATTGGATTTATAGCTTTACTTGGATGTTTTACTATTGTTGCAATTCCTCAACAGCATATTGATTATACTATTCAAAAACAACTTTTAATTACTTCAATTATACTTGGATTTATTCATCTTAGTTTTGAAATTCGTCAGATTATTTATAATCCTGTTAAATGGATTCGTGATATTTGGAATTTATTTGGTATGTGTAAAAAATGTTTTTATTATTTTAAGTAAAAAAAATGTAATTAATCACTTTATATAATATTATTATAGATATAATTGCATATCTATTCCCAATTTATACTTCTATTTATTGGCTTTTAACAAATGATAGAAATGTCTGGTTACTTTCTTTTTCATGTTTATTTTTAGATATTAAATTTCTATTATTTTTTAGAGCATTTGAATCTTTTGGTATATATTTTGCAATTATTATTAGTGTTGCAAAACAGATTGTTTCATTTTTAGTAGTTCTATTTATTATTATAATAAGTTTTGCACATGCATTTTATATTTTATTATCACCAACTTCTGATTATTCTTTTGAAAATCCCAATTTTAATAATGATTCTAATAATCCTTGGAATATGAATTCGAAATATAAAGTATTTAATAATGAAACTACTGATCCTAATCAATTCATAATAGAACAGCCTGATGAAAACACAAATATGTTTACTAATTATGGAACTTCTCTTTTCACAATGTATTTATTCTTGACAGGTATGTTTTATATATGTATATGTATATTACAAATATTTTATTAATATTACTTCAATTAATACATTTATTCTTAATCATGTGACTTTTGAAAAAAAATATTAATAAATTTATTACTAGGTGATTCAAGTGCATTATCCCATTGGTCATATAAAAATAATCCACCACTTGTAATACTGATGGTTTCATTTTCATTTTTGATTGTTGTGTATCTTATGAATTTGTTTATTGGATTACTTAATATGGCGATTGAAAAAGATAAGGATAGAGTTTCATATTTAATACAGAAGGCAGAGGTATAAATATCTATCTTATTTAGATAATTTAATTTATTATTTTTTAAAAAATATTTTGCCAATTTTCAAAATCTTTTTCTTATAGATCCTAGCTGAAATTGAGTTATTTTATCTATTACCATATCAGAGACGTTGGCAAACATGGTTTCCTGAAGTAATGTATGTATATTTTAGTAGTATTTTTATATAGTGATTCTATTTAATTAATACTTTGATATTTTTTGCTAATGTTTAACAAACTTATTATTCAAGATATTATTATGCCAATGTCGATAAAACTCGAGAAAAGGTTAAACAAATGATTAGTAATGGTAAATGGAATACTGATGGATTCCCAGAGTTGAAGCAAGAATTATTAAACAAACTTAATATTCAAAATAATCCTGTCAATTAGTACATAATTATGATGTTATGATAGATTATTACTAGATTCTGATTATTATCTTCATCAATCAAATTATTATCATTCTAAAATTAAATTTCATGTTTTATTAATGGTTTTTTTAGAAATAAGTATGGAGAAAAGTACGAACCAGTACGATATATGATAGATTTTGAACATTTTTATTACTGGCAAAGTTTTCGCTATGTTGTTTTCATGGACATTACTTTGGGAAACATTGCTGATTAAATTTCTTTATAAAACAACATTTTTATAAGATATTTTATTCTAAAGAAAAGAGAATTCAGTAATGTTTAAGAAAACTTCTGTGCATTCTTAAAAGATGCAAAAAGAAAATAAATTTACTTTGATATGTTTGTTTTTTTAGAGATAATACAAGAAATATTATTTAAAATAAAACAAAAGGAAATTCCTTCTAATTTCTACTATACTTATATTTAATTTTCTTCAACTTTAGTACATCGCCTAAATAATCTTGTGGTGGAAAAGCTACATAGTATTATTTAAAGATTACTTCTTTTTAATCTTTTTTTTACTATTTGGAAGTACTACAGCATCAAAATCATCAAAATCATCCGAATTATTAGAATCATTAGAATCATGATAATTAGATGCATTTTGATTTATCACACGATTTGTTAAATGATATAATCTACTAACTATATTTATTGTTAAATTTAAAGTTGAAAAAATTAATGTAAGAAAAGGAATAGTATCACGAAAATAAACTTTCTGCATATAATAAATCTATAATCAGTATAAATGGGGAATATGTTAGTTATCCCTTCAAATAAAAAATAAATTTTTAGTACCGTGATTCTTACCTGAATGGCTACTTGAGGAATGTCTGCAATAAAAATGCTGAGGCAAGAACCCCAAAGTATCTTTACTTTAAGTGATTCAGAGAAAGGAGCTCTAAAACATGAAAAACCTGCAAATTTTGAATGTAAAATATTTAATGCTTTGATATCAGCACCAGCTAATATGGTAAATAAAAATGCAACTTTTGCATTAGTCTTAAACCATTGATTAAATTTTGTGTTTGTATTTTCATTTGTTACAATAGAAAAAGCTAATATTGTGTTTATTCCTACAGGTATTACTAAAAATAAGACACTATTCACAAAAGAAAGGACAAGCCATAATGTTAGTAAGAAAGTAAATAAAAAAAAACGAAATTATGCTATCACAATACCTTGGAAGATAAAGTATAGGAATATCTCTAGCGTTACTATTAACGAAAAGAATATCCATAACCAAATCGAGAATAATTATACCAAGTTGTAAAATAGCAATATTATTACCCTAAAGAATATTTAAATATATTATATAATTTAATTAATGTGATTATAAAAATTCTTTATAGAATACGTTACTCTGCTATCTCTTATTTGAGCGAACAAGAATAAAACTATCAAGAGTCCAACAAATAAGAATATGCCTAATAATCCGAACTTGTATTTTTCCCATAAATTCGCTATTATACGAAAAGAATTAGTTAGTATATATATACAGTTAAAATCACTCATCATTAGATACTCACGTGAACGGACGAAACCATATTTTTCGTCCAAGTATTGAGTTGTCTGACCTTCACCAATCGGAGTTTGATCTTTATATCTAACCATAAAATCAAGATATTTAATAACAGTCGCAACACTTATATCATTCTCAATTCTAGTTTCTTTAATATCTATAGAAATTAAATATTGTTTTTCATTTACACTATTATCCACTTGAGTTCTTCCATTACTACTAAGACGTGATCGATTTATAGGAACAGCATAAGATATTTCATTTAATAAATTATCAAAGAAATGATCTGAAGTTAAATTATCAAAATATAGAGTACCCCCAGGAGTTAAACGTAATATACCAGTAGCTGAACGAGAAAAATGATCTATTCTTTCCTCAGTAGTAAAATTCCAAATATTCTCTCTAATACCTAACATTGGTTCATTAAATACTCTATCTCTAACAAAATCATTATCCACCTTAATAAAATAATTTCCTTTTGATACGCTAAAAGTACTATTTAATATTCTACCGGTAACAGTTCTATTATCATTTTCTATTGATAAAAAATATGGTTGAAATGATTGACGTAAATAAGTTTTATCCCCATCTTTCTGATAAATTGATAGTTTACCTGTAGAAAGAGCAACAGGATCATAAAATGTAATAGACACTTCATCTAAATTAGGTTTTACAGTAGATTGAATTTTAGGAATAGTTGATTCAACATTTAAATTAGAATAACCTTTATCCCTGTCACCAGCAGATTTAGGCAAGTCGTCGGTTATATCGAATTGCCAAGAATTATCTATTTCTTTTTGAGCAACTAAGAGAGTATTATTATGTGGCAATATTTCAAATATTCCCTTTGAATTTGTAGACGAACCAAAACCGTAAGCAGTCCCAACCTTTCCATCATATAAAACTCCATCTATACTATTAAAATTAACGTCAAAAGAAATAAACAAATAACCACCGAATGTTAAACTACGTACCCTCCAAAAAGAAGTCGTATTTACAGGATCTGAACTATTAAGAGTTAGAAGAGATGTAATAGCCCCTGAAGATAAGAAATTAACTTTAATATAAATAGCTGTCTCACTATAATCTTGTTTAGCTACTAAAAAACAAACTTTCCCAACTCCAACATAAGCGATATCACATGTTAAACTAATAAATTCTAAATTAGTACAAATTTGATAAAGTAAGAAAGGGGAAACAGAGGTTTGACTATATCCAATAGGTAAAATGGATAATTGATTTTGTGGTATGATTGTAATATTTTTAATATTAGAATCATCATCAGTTTTTTGTGTTCTATCTACGAATACGATAGCGTAACCTTCGTCAATTGTTGACATAGTTACAACTGTAGAATTAACAGGTCCACTAAGGTTAAAATTTCCAGATGTTAAATTTGTAAAATTTCCTTCAGGTTCAATTCTATATTGTTGCCATTCAACAATATTTGTTGTATTTGCCCTCATATTACATCTAAGAAATCCTTTTTCTCTATTAATATTAAGTTGTATTTTACTTATTGCAGATGTAGGTGCAGCAGGTCCAAAATATCTACGGTCTAATACATTACCATCTAAATCAATTACAATTCCCCATTCTGTAAGTGTAGCATTTAAAATATCATTGGGATCTGTGGAATTATAATAAGTAACTAAAATTTGTTTCTTACGAATTAAATAATATTTTAAAGGATATGATTTAATCAAAGAACAATAATTAATTTTTGGAATATCTAAATTTTTATAATCTTTTTCAATAACTGTTCCGTCAAGGTTAATAATTCTTAATGAAAGCATATTAATGAAACAATCATTATTTGGTGAATCTCTTCTAACTATTCTTATTACCATTGTACCATCGTCAAATACTTGTGAATCATACACAAGAGGTAATGATGTTGGTCCATAATCAATTTCCTCCACATGAGAAAATGTTTTCATTTTTCCTATTGTTGTTTCTATTGTTGTTTCTGCTGTTGTTGTAAATAATGGATACGAGCATAATATAATCGAAAAAATTAACGAAAATAATATTTTCGTCGAATTTTCTCGTATTATCTGCATTTTTTTACCTTTTTCTGAATAATGAATATTTTACAAAGTTAAACTCGGAAATTTTTTGAGATTAAATGTACTGTAACATGTAAATCCTTTGATCTTTCTTATATACCATCAAAATATGCAAGTTTATGCACCCCTTTTTATACGTCTTTGTGGTTATTAAGTATTCATTACTAAAATTTTTATATTATTTAATTCGGACTAATTAAAAAGTGTAGGATTCTATTCTTAATACAGTCTGATCTCGATATAATGAATCCACGATATAACGAACTCTCGACTTACCGAACTTTTTTTTAAAAAATCAGTCACTGCTCAGATAATTTTGATTAATATGAAACTCACGTGTTTGAAATTTCTCATAATTTATGTGATAATCTTAATTCTGGTCAAAATTAATATTTAATCACGTGACAAATTTATATACCGATCTTATTACTGTAAACTTATGGAGTTCGGTATATAAAATTAATGGTCAGCCATTTCTGGATTACCTGAGGAAATCCTAGTCTTATAGAACTATAATAGACAAAGGGAAAAAATGTGTGATTACCTACTTTGGTTCGTAAGATAATTTTTTGGAGGCCGAGCACCATTGGAAGCCGACCATATCACACTCCCCAACAAAACCACCTAAAAAGTTCACTAAGGACAGAAACTAAAACTCGGCATCAAGCAAAGGGAAGACTGCGGGTGCTCAATCTAAGTCTTCGACTCGTTTGCGCGATAAATCCAAACCTCATAAACGGACCGACGATACGCGTTCTTTGCTTACCCAAATCCTGAAATTTCTGGCAACTTAGTTGTCGAGTAAAATCCTAGATAGTAATGGGAGGATTCTAGCATACTAACGATTTTTATTGTCGCTACCTCTTTTTGTAGGGCCCATGGTTAGGTGTAATGGTGTTATAAGGTGTAGAGGAGTTTTTGTAGGAATGGTTTAATTTTCTTTTTTTTTAGTTTTTCGGCGTCCTTTGGTTTTTTTATCCCCCCTTTTTTGGTCATATTTCCGGTCCCAGTGCATTAATTTTGCAATCGGTTATGAGTTGGGTGTTTACTTTAGTTTAAAAATTTTCGCTACTTGTAGTATTAATTTTTAGGGTTCGCCCTTGTTTCACCCCCCAGTCTATGTCTAAATTTAATAAATAAAAATAAAAAAAGAGTTCGGTATATAAAAAAATTTACATACCGAACTTCTACTGTATACAGTGATATTATATCGTTGGATTTATCTTGATGAGAGGAATCCTATGGTAGTAAATTCGCATTTAGTATCAATATTGATCGAATTATCACAAAAAACGTATTTTACTATGCGTTATTTGTAAATTAAATGAAAGTGTTCGGGACAATATGTGTATTAATTATATAAGGGATGTCTAAAAATGAAAATTTGTATAAAAAAAATATATACAGTACGAAGCAGCAAATGTAAAACTAAAACTGATTACAATAACTTTTTTACATCCAAAATTCTTGTGAATTGGCTGTCCTAAAAGCACATAAACTTGCGGAATGCTAATAGGAGGAGGAATACTATATAACATTTATATACTAAACTAATTAGAGAATTAATGGAGGAAATATTTGAACTTTCATTGTAATATAAATTTAGTGCCATGATAAGGTAGAAATTGTCGAGTTTCTGTGGAATTGTGAGCGAGCTTTTTAACTTATTCTTCTTTAACCTGATTTGTTCCTTAATAAAATATAATTTGATTATTATAGATAACGCTATTAATTAATCAAAAGTATATTTATATAAGTATTTCGCGTCAATCTACAGCAAATCATATACTGTATATCTAAAATATTTCGATTCAGTTTTAAATCATTTTTTTGTCCGGCAGGCCAAAGATTTCATATTTACAAAATTTGATCACTTGTTCTTGAGTAAAACGGTATAAATTAGAGATTTAGGGAATCACTACCTTGGGGGACAAAAACATTGACCAGAATTAACATAATTTCGGCCAGAGTTATAAGTACATGTCATGAGATTTGTAATTTTGTTTTATAAATCCGGCCAGATTTTATAATTCCGGCCTAAATTATATGTATCATTTTTCTGAAAACTGAGGGTATGTTAAACGAAGAATCAAGTTTGAGTGTTCTTGGCCACAAAATATTACTTGAATTAGATAACATTTTAAGATTCAATAAATCGAGCTTGGCAATGATCTCCCACAAAATGTTTTCCCCTAATTTAGGTTATAAAGGTTTTCCGATGGCAAATTACTTGAAAAAAGACAATCGCTTCAAAAATTTACTTATTCTGGCCATGAATAAGGGTTTTTTAAATCGATAATTCATCATGTTTCGCGACTCGCGACTAACTTGTCATTTTATAATTGGAAGTATTATATAAATGGAAGTACCTCGCATTGAATTAAGAAAAATTATTATTCGAAATTCTGAATTAATAAATTTATCATAGTTCGATCAAGAAATTCAATGTTAACCCTGATTAGTACAATTTTATAACAATATATTTTCATGAGAAACTTCGATTTTTATTCGATAGGGGGGAAAAAATACTTATTTTAACCATGTACTGTACATGCTGTATATTTTATGTAGCAATAAAAAAAAGGTAATTTTTTTGTTCCTTTATAATAATTATCATCTTTTAATATTTTCATACTAATATTTAAATTTATGAAAATGAATCTTTTTTTTTTAATTTTTCCATTTTTTAAAATTTTACAACTTTTATTTGCAAATGTTAATCGCCGAAAAAAAAGAGGTATTTTAATTTTTTAAGAACCATTCAAAATCTCGATGCGTTATACTGTATAATACAATCACGACGCTTATTATCTTTTTTTTTAATTTACATTTCGACAAAATTTAATGAATTATTATTAATGTTATTAGTTAGAAAAAATAAATTACAGTTTTTTTTTTTTGCTTTATATTAAATAAAAATGTGATTTTTTTTTGTATATAAAAAAAATACTGATAAATAATAAATTTTTCGTATTTCATGAGGTCGTTTTCAGAAATGTTGGCACTCAGTGTGTCGATCATTTCTCAAATCGAACACACCGAACACACACTGAACACAAACAAAACACAGCAATTAAAATTGCGAAAAAAAAATTTTTTCCTTTATGAAACAAAAAATTAGACTTCGATAATATATTTTTAGGTAGTGTGCATAAAAAAATGTATAAAAATTATATTATTTATATATATGTATTCACTTGTATTTGCTTGTATTCGCTTATATTCAGTGTGTTTGGTTGTGTTTGGTTGTGTTCAGTTGTGTTCGGTGTGTGTTCGGTATAAATTTTAACATTTTCAATTTTTTTCATAACTAAAAATTGATAAAAATAGTTTTTATGTAAAACTATATACGCACACTTCAAGTTCTCATAATTTTTTATATGTGTTCACGGTGTGTTCGGTGTGTTCGTTTTGTAAAAATGATTGACACATTGAGTGCCAACATTTCTGAAAACGGCAATAAGTGTCGGGATATTATTGAATATCGGTTTTCGCTTATTAGGGATCTTTGGATGTATAAACAGGATTTTGATTGTCGAGATTTCGTAATAAATCCTAAATTATTCAAATTATTCAAATTTTCTAAATTTTAAAATTTTGTTAATTTTTTTGAATTTTCCAACAACGGTTCGGATGGATGAAATACCGTAAATATGGTTATCGAATTACCGAAATTCCAGATTAATATAAAAATCTCATCCGACATTAATGTTATCGTTCATAAATAATTAAAAATGCAAATTGATTAATTAACAAAGTTTCATGTTAATTTTTTTGATTAAATACTTAAATAAATAAAAATGAAATTTAGAATCATTTTTTATTTGTTCTTATTAAATTAAAATATCATAAAAATTTAAAATCAAAAATTGTTATGTTTCTAAGCCTAAATTACTTGCGAGCTTACGAACACATATATACGTTATAAATAAAAACAAAAATGAATAAATTCATAAAACTAATAATTATCAGTGCTATTGTAACCTTCCTCATCGTTGAAATAGAGGTAATAAATAAATCAAGCTTTCTTTTTTCTTTTTTATAATGCGTACAACGGTACAAACCTTTCATTTTAATTTTCTTCCACCACAAAGATGCTTGAAATTTCCGATACTACGAGAATTTTGTAGAAGGAAATTAGTCCTACCACCATCACCACAACAGCAATAGCCGGATCGGCACCAATTGTACCATAATTGCTGGCACTATCAATTTAAGAAGCAATTAAATAATTCCTAAAATTAAAAAAGCTCAATTATATTTTCATTTAATGCATTTTATATTTATAAAATTATTATAACTTACCAATGATAAGAATATTATGAAAATAAAAAATCTTTTCTTTCTACCCGATAAAAACGGAATTTAAGGAAACTTTGACTTTTTGATATCTGTACAGAAATATTATTTAAAGAATAGAGCATCTAAAACTCGAATGGTATACACTAAAAGAATAACATTCAACATTAAAGTTCAAATTCGGAGATTCGAATTGATCGACCAAAGTCGGCCCAATGGTCCTAATTAGTAAAATTGGACCGACCGCTGATATCATTTAAATAACGAAAAAGAAAATCAACATCAAATGCGACTATAGTGAATACGTTAGACCCGATATACGTACGTATTTTGACGGTCAAAAATTCCATATTTACAAAATTTGATGCTATTAATAGCCAAACAATATAATAAATGACCAACATGATATTCAAGAATACATACTATTTTTTTTAGACTAAAAAAAAAGAAATGCCAATCCTGCTAACTTTTCAAGGAAAACTAAAGAAAAGAAATGCTAAACCCGCTAACTTTTTAGGGAAACTAAAGAAAAGAAATGCTAAGCCTGCTAACATTTCGACAAAGCCAAGGGAGATACCAAATTAGGGATAAATATACGATATATAACATGATTCACAGACTTATTAAGTTGTATGAAATTACTTTAAAAGATTAAATACTTTCGATCTGAGATTTCGGGTGCAAAATATTTCTTGAATTAGACAATTATTATAATTATTCAAGATTTCATAAATCGGGGTTGACATGATCTCATATAGTGAAAAAAATCGGGGAAATTAACAAATTTGAACTTATAATTTTTATTATTGATAATCTAGGACAAATTAGGATAAAGTTTTTTTTTACGGCGTGCACCCTGATACAGGGCGTTCAAACATACGAGTTACTTTGAAGGTTTTATCACGCGATGATCGCTTCAAAAATTTACACACCCTGATCAATGAATAAGGGGTAGTGTAGATCATATATAACGGTCAGTATATTCCATATATATATATTATTTCTTTTATTTCTGAATTAATAAATTTATTATATAATTTTTTAACAAAAAATATTTCAAATGTTAAAATAGAAATTTCAGGGGGAAGAAATAATTGGATAATTGGAATAATTTTAGTAAATAGTATATATATTAATTAATTATATATATATATTAAATAATTTTATTCGTTCATCTAAAAAGTAAATACAATAAATATTAATGTAATTTAATAAGGAATAAACAAAACCATTCTTTTTTGACGCGTTATTAATTAAGTTCGCGTAATATAAAAAATTTTTGATCGTAACACGGCTTATGAGTTGATTTTCAAAGCACATCATCAAAAAAGAAATGCCAAGAAAAGTTAATCATTTTTGTCGATTCTGATAGGAAAATATGGTTACACAAATTACACAAATTACACAATTATTTCATCATTTAACAGACAATCAGCAACCTTATTCATCACATTCACACATAGCATAATCTTGTGTTATCAAAATGAATAATGAATTCTTTTATATCCTATTATAATATTAAAGTTAAGTTCGAAATAACATGTGTCTATATATCTCGCGTGGGTTATTGGGGTGGGTTGTAACATAAATATGAATTATTATTTGTTTTTATTTTTTGGTTTGTAATACAGTGCGTTGATCATATAACATATTAATCATTATCAAGTGGCTATCAAAAATGCCAAGAGAGCCAAGAAAGAGTTTGTTATGCACCTTACAATAATTTGGTTTAGGTAATACAAAATCTTTTATTCACATATATATATAATATATATATATATATATATTTTAATATTTGGCCAAAATTTAATTCTGTATACATTGTACAGAAGTAAAAAATAAGCCCGAATTACAACTGGTAAATAATTTTACATGCATAAGCTTACCCTCTAACAATTATATTTTTTTATTGTTTTTATTTTATTTAGTCATACCATTTCTCATAAATTTTTTCTTGGCAAAAAAAAATAAATAAATAAATAAATATTTCTTAAAATTCTATTAATAGTTAAATTGATCGAAAATAATCGAATGCATAAAAAAACAAAACGAATTATTGTTAATAAGAAATATTATTGGAAAAAACATCTATTAATAATTAATATCTTGGCTCTTTTAAACCTCATATGGAATAAATAAAATTTTACTGACGCGTTAAATTCTACGGGGAACCGGGATAAACGCGTGTTTAGGATATCATCATTTATCACGAGAAATATGTAACGTAATAAAATAATCCTTTAATATATCATCCGATAATGGTAAACCATGTACCAGTAGATCCTTACCCTGAATCAAAAGATGCCAAGAATTCTTTATATATATAAAAATGCAATTATGCTTTAATCCCTATTTAGTAAAGACAAAAAGAAATATTTATCTTCCAATTATCTGGAAAAATTATTAAACGCCAAAGAATATATTTTACTGTTGTAACGTAACAATTTTTGCCAATGTTCTATCTACTAAATCTTGGCATATTATATCGTAATCTTTTTAATATTACTATAATTATATTTGATTTCCTATATATCATGATTTACTTACTTATTTATTCTAGTTCAATAAAAAAAAAAATGCATTTTGAAAAAAAAATTTTCTTTTTTTCTTTTTACTTTCAATTTTTCTTTTAGACTGTTTCTAAAAATATAATTCATTGACATTTAAATCGGAGAGTAATTCCGTTACGTATGTGGTCCTGTATGAATAAACGAAATAGTTTAAGTTTATTTTTCAAACTTTCAACTAAACTTGATTTTACGTAGTACAACATTTTAAAAAGGTATTACAAGTTTATTTATGAAGGTTTATTGTAAAAAATTTTTTTTTAAAAAAAAATACCAAGAAAAAGCACGACATCAAAAACTATTTAATTTAAACTTATTTATTTATGTAAATATAAACAATACCCAAGGAAAACATTCTACTTTATACTATTAATGATAAGATGCCGAAATTTCTATTAAAAATAATTTCGGGGCTGATGATTACTATACTTTATTTTATTTTATTCTATTTTATTTTTTATACTATATTAATATAAGATCACTCGATAATCACTTTATTTTAGTTAATTCGGAAGATACGAAATCTTTTCTCTTTCACAGGTATAAATAAAGGGCTTTTTTTGCGTTGAAAAAAATTCCCAAGGTTGTGATTCACGAAAAAAAAAATAATAATATTTAATTATATCATTAAAAAGAATTTCAACTTTTCATTTAAGATCAATTTCTCTTTAAGAACAACCAATTTTTAATAATTTTATAAAAAAAAAAAATGGCAAAATTCACAAAATTAACGTTCGTTTGCGTTCTTGTCCTCGTTCTCCTTGTTTCCTTCAGCGTATCATCTCCTGGTTAGTAAATTAATCCCTTTTTACGGTTTCTTTTTTGGTTAAAAATTCCTTTTATTTAATTTATTCATTTTATTTTTTTTCTTAACAGAACGATTAGCTGTTCGTCAAGCACCTACACCAGATACTGGAGCTCCAGCACCAGGAGGTGATGCAACTCCACCAGCAGGTGGAGCCACACCAGGAGCAACTCCACCAGCAGCTGGAGGAGCACCACCAGCAGGAGCAACCCCACCAGCAGCTGGAGGAGCACCACCAGCAGGAGCAACCCCACCAGCAGGAGCAACTCCACCAGCAGGAGGAGCACCACCAGCAGGAGGTCCATCATCATCACCTTCTTCATCACCAACTGTGAGCGCTTCAGCTGCCGGCCCTAGTGGTAGCTCATCTCCAGCAGCAACAGGCGCTGCCTACAAAATTGAAAGTGGTTTATCTAGCGTTGTTGCCCTCGCTGCTCTCGTTGGTTATTTCTTGTAAAAAAATACAATTCAATTTTTTTTTGAACGTTTATAATGATCCTTATTTTTCATGTGGGGGGGAGTTTTTTAGTATTTTAATTGTTTAGATAAAAAAGAAATTTTTTAATAACATTAAAAAATTAGTTCTTTTCCTCTTTTTTTTTTTTATAATTTAATTATATTATGTATTAAGTTCACTGAAAATTTTAATAAACACGATACTTTATTATCAATTTCTTTTTAATTAAATAAATAATTTCGAATGTTCGAGTAAAAAAGACAAAAATATTGGTTCAAAGATGGTTAGCATCCTCAAATTTATTAAGTAGTACCTATCATATATTCATGGTACTGGTTTCATGTGATACAATTTTGGAAATTCAATGTTTTTTTTTATCAAAAAAAGTTAAAAAAATTTGTCATTTATTACGTCAATATGAAGTAATAAAAAGATTGCTGTGCAAGTAAATCAATTAAAAAATATCTAATTTTAGTTAACAAAATTAAATAAATTTTCATTTAAGACGAGCAAAGCCAAATGATATGTTCTTGGCTTGGTCGTTTGGTCAAAGCCATTCCGAGTGACAATAACTTGGCTTATTCAAAATTGCAGCTTGTTCCCAGAAAAAAATGGTATAGAAAAAAAAACACTTCAGCGGGTAATCTAACCTTTAAATAAACATTAACTTCCTAATTTTGTAATTACAAGTCCTCGCCGACTTTTTAACTATATCATTTTTGTCTTATTCCGTCTTAATACAATAACCTGAATTAGCCAAGCATTAGCATTAATCCGTTATTGTGTTTACATAAACGTTTTAGATGCTTGTTTACCTTGCCAGAATTAGGTATAAGTTTGGGTAGAATTAAGATGTCATGAAACTCCACCCGTTAATACCTGTTAATGCTAGTGCGATGTGATCACTGCGAGGTGATTTTTTTTGATAAAAATCATAGTAAAAATTGTTTATAATCTTTTTTAAATTAATAAACAAATATTAGCAGATTTTACAGGTCGGTTATCTCATATACTATGTATTAGCATAATAATAAAATTATAGAGAGTTTATTATAAAAATTGCATGAACGGTCCCGTCAAACTGATAATATTATTATTGGACTATATAATAGTCTAATGCGGCACTACTTATTTATATTGTATTGATCTTTGACTGTACTTTCTCTCAATAACAAATCTTGTCTGATATTATCAATAGAAATTCTAGTTAAAATATACCTTAATCTATGCCTTTAAGACAATTGGTTGTTTTACTAAATTTCATCAATTCTTTACTCATTTAAAGTAACCAATTAAGATGATTTGTTATTAATTGCAATATAAAATCTTGTTATAAATTAATTTGTTACAATTTCATGCAAAATAAATAGATACTATCATTTTTTTGTTAAAATTATTATCATAAGCTATATCCATCCAGTAGGATACAATTATCAAAATACAATTAAAAATAAAAGAAAAATAATAATTCAAATATTTTATCAAATTTTCTTTGGTAATTGTTACTTTTTGTGATATTTTGTACATTACTTTTACTACTAATTAGTATAATGAAAAAAAAATAAGGGGAATTACTTTTTAAGATTTATTGCAATTTAAGACATTTTGGCCTAAATTATGTAATTTTTTATTTGTAATTTTGAGCCACTTTATAATGGCCAAATTCATATAATCATCTGATTTTGATTTTATATATTTAATATTAATAATTACTTAACCAGAGCTATATGAAAAATAATTATCTAATCTACTATTTAACAGAGAAATAATTGATTTTTTGGTTACTTTTATTCTTTTAAAATCATGATTAGTAGCTTTAGATCATATGTATTATAGTATTTTTATAGATTTTTTAAAAATTTTTAATTTTATTATTATATTTATAACTTTCTAAAATTTTAAACTTTTTACATACTAATTTATTAATTTTAATTAGTACTATAAATTTGATTTAAATTATAATATATTACATAAAGAATTTATTATATAATTGGATTTAAAATTAGTTTAATTATACTTATAATAAATTAATATTTTTACTATAAAGTTAATAATACTAATAGAAATTAATATATTTAATTTATATTTTTAATTTATTTTAATAAATAGATTTAAAATTATCACTTTTAAAATTAAATTAGTTTATATAAATTTAACTCTAAAATATTAAAAAATTATATAGTAAATTTATATAAATTTAATTTAAAATTCTGGAAATTAGATTTTTTAAAAATTTTAATAGTAATTTAAAGGTAAATTTGTATCTAGCACTCCTGTAAAATGCTTAAATCTAACATTCTAACTAAGGTTGCTTGCCTAAACCTCTCCAAAATTCTACGATTAGTTTCTCCAAAATTTTACTATAGTTTTATTATAGTTTCAGCAAGGTTTTGGCAGTTTCAGTATTTATAATAAGTTTTGTCGGGGTTTGCTTTTCTCCAGAGTTTTGCCAACTTTTTAATAAGACTTTCATATAGTTTTGGCAAAATTTCATCATTTCAGCATTTTGCCAACTTACCAAAACTCCCTAGTTTCTCCAGCAACCTTAATTCTATGCTATTTATATAATTCTCACGTAAAGTAAAAAAATTGCTGAACAACTCTGAACTCTGGAGTAGGCTATTTTTTTAAAAAAAAAAAATTTATTCTTTTAAGACAGTTCATATTTTATGAATATTTAACGATTTTTATTGGTTTATAAGTAATTACGTTACATTTGTAAAAAAATTTACTTATACGTACAGCCATACTATTCTAAATTAAAAAAAAAACGCCAAACATATCACATAATATAAATCTACAACTAAAATCATTTTCTTTATTTTCTAGGCTTATTATTTATAACTTGTATTTTTATAAAAAGCGGCATTATGTCCTATTTTATTGCAAACACAATACTTATAAGAGCCTCTAGTTTTGGGCTTTTCTTAAGCATCCTGTTTCTTTTTCACACTACTCAAATACCTTCACTTGGGTGGCTAACCTTTAGTAATAACTCTATTCAGATTTTTACATTTTAGAGGTTTATATCTATAATTTCTCAGTCTTTTTCAATTTCATTTTTCTCTATCTGACTACTAGTCTCTATTCTAAAATTAGTATCATTATAGTTTCTTTGAATTTCTTGGGATTATCAGATACTTCATCAATAGTGGATCTTTCATCAATTATTGTTTGAAGTCTTTCAGACGTATTTCGATTGGATTTTCTTCTAACATAATCTTGAAGAATAAAAGTTATTTCATCATCTTCTTGCTCAACTGCAAGTAAAGTGGCTGTTCGTACTAATCTTCATACACAACTATATAAAATTCTTTTATGAATAGCCTTTTTAAGAATAGGAACAGTTATTGGAATCGTGATAGGCTTTCATACAGATAATGTATTATTGTTTATAATTTCATCATCATGAATACGTACCTTCTTTATTGTTAAATATTACTTTTTCTTGCATGTTTGTTTCATCTTAGTAAATATTCTTATACCATCTTTGAGGTATATTTTAGAATTCATCATAACATGAAAATAGTAACGATATATTATTCCCTTTGAGATAGACTTGAGACAAGAATACTGGTAAAATATTGCATTGACAATAATAACAAAATATACATAATTTTTTCTTTCACTTCGTATATTTACAACTTTCTATATTTCTAATACTTCTTTTTGTCCTATTTCTTCAATCATAACCTGAAGTGTAATAAAATATGCATCAAGTTGATCTTCAATAAAACCATCTGATGATTTATGAAGATTTTCCTTTAATAATAGCAAGGTATTATTTAACATTAAAGTATATTGCAACTCAATTATTTATTAGTAACAACATACTTGCTTACAATTTAATTCTTCGTTATTGAATTCAATCATATTTGCAGTAACAAATAAACATTGAGATATTTTTGTCTTACATCAGTAAATTTTTGGGATGCGGATCCCTAGAGATTCCAAATATCCCGTAATTAGTAAGGATCTCTAAGGAACCTTCCCCACCAGCGAGGATTCCTTATCAAAAGATTTTTAAAGGATCCTAAAATTACCATTAAGGAATCATTAAGGATATTTATCATTATATTTATTTAATAGATTTATTATTAGTTAATTTATTTATTTATAAATTTAATAATGTATTTATTAATTTTTATTTATTTATCTATTATCTATTATATATTATCGCAAATTTTTTCTGAATTAATAAAATATAGAACAATAATTAGAAAAGATCTATTTTAATTACAAAGTAAATTCTAAATAAAAAATCAAAAAAATGTAAATATAAAGTTCTAAGGCAGAATCTACAATAAAAAAAATTAAAAATATAAGTAAACGTAATAAATAAAGGAATAAAAATGATAAGTTTCGCAACAAAACTTACCATCTTTAAATTTTTAATTCTTCCATCGATGCCCAGATAACCTAAAATAAAAAATGTTGTTTAATTTCTATTAAAAAGAAAACAAACGAGAAGTTTCTCAATGAAATTTACCATTTTTAACTCCTTAACTTCTTCATCAATACCATTCACCCTAACGAAATCTTACCCATCTAAAAAAGAGAAAAAATTGAAACGTTAATAAACGTTTCGTTAAAATCAATAAATTTAAAAAAATTAGTTTCTACCAAAATCCTATTGGATCCCTCACAAGACAAAGGAAAAAGAACGTTAACTAACGTTCTCTAACGTTTCTAATAAAAAAAATATATGGTAGTCTTGCGAAATCTACCATTTCTATACGCCTATAAAACAAAGAAAGGGATATTAGCAACATTCCTAATAAAAATAAAAAAGATGTAAGTTTCATGAAACTTACCATCTTTTTTAAGGATCTAAATCTCCAGAGACCCAAATCCCGAATCTTACAAATAAAAGAAAAGGAAACATTAGTAAATGTTTCCCCAATAAAAAATAACAAAAAAAAGTTTTGTAACTTCCAGTTACAAAACTTACCACTCCAAATTTCCGGATTCAATTCACAGAATCTACAAAAAAAGAATAAGGAAACATTAACAAAAATTTCCTAAAAAAAAAACAATAAAATTTAAGTTTTGCAACAAAATGTTGCGAAACTTACCAAATCTCCAGGTTGAATGGCGAAACTGACCTAAAAAAGCTTAAAAAAGAAACATTAAAAGACATTTCTATTAATAAAAAATAAAATAAATTTAAATAGAAGTTTCACAACAAAACGTTGTGAGACTTACCCATCTTTAAAGTCCAAATCGCCTGAAACTTAAAGAAAGAGAGGGTGGGAAAAGAGAGAGAAGAAAATTAGAAAGAATGAAAGAAGAAAAGTAAAATTCCTTGCATAAATAAAAATAAAAAAAGTTATATATTTCCTAAATACATACCCGACTCCATATCCAAAGTTCAGAGTTAATAAGTCCAGTAACCGAAAACAGGACCCCGGATATCTCCAAAACAGGTCATAAATCACACTTTCGGCAGATTGGCCCATTTTTCAAGGGCTCAAAAAATTGTTTTTTGTAAATATCTCGGCATCCAGTGGTCCAATTTTGATGAACTTTTTTTAAATTGTAGAGCTAAATGAGGGCTACAAAATAAAAAAAAGTTCATTAAAATTGAATTACTGGATGCTGAGATATTTACAAAAAACGATTTTTTGAGTTTCAGCAAAAAGGTGTGTTTTTGGCCAAAAGTCCATTATGACCTTTATATTAGATATCCGGGGTCCTCCGAAAACTACCATAAGCCATCAAGTAAAAGCAAATTTTCACGCCGCCCAGAGACCCAAAAAATACCTAAAAAAAAATGAAAAAATGAACAATTAGAAATATTCGTTAAAATAAAAAAAAATGTTTCTTTATCTTACTTTCACCCAGAATCCCAAAAAAAAACTAAAAAAGAAAAAAGAACAATTAGTAATGTTCGTTATAATGAAAAAAAACAATAAAGTTTTTTTACTTACCTATTTCACGCCCAGATATTCGAAAAAATACCTAAAAAAAGGAGAAAATGAACAATTAGAAATGTTCATTAAAATAAAGAAAAAATAAAGAAAAAAAATACCTGCCAAATGCCGCGTCCAAAAAACTGAAGAGCCGTCTAAAAAGTAACAATTAAATAAAAAAGTTTCAAAAAATTAATTTGAAAAATAAAATACAATAATATTTATTTTTCAAAAATAGTTGGTAGGTATATTCTATTAACATGAAATGAAGGAAAAAAAAGAAAGAAAATAAAGAAAAAAACGTGTAAAAGGGGAAGAGAATGCATGAAGAAGGGAATAGAAAGAATGTATAGGAAACACGTAAAAGGGGGAAGGAAAAAATGTATGAAGGGAAGGGAAGAATATGTGAAGTGCATGAAGTGAAGAGAAATTACGCGTAATGGAAGGTTTTTTTTCGGCAAGTCATGTGACTGATCAGTGATCATGTACAATTAAAGTTTCACAAATGATTTTGTGACAGATTTGTAAAATCATTTGACGCGAACTTGTAAAATTAAAATTATAAGATACTTAAATAAAGAATTCTTGAAGTTTTTTTATTAGGAATCCTTAAGAATCCTATAATTTATAGAATCTATACATGCTGCCCAAATTATTTTGGGATGCTATAATTATAATTTGGGATGCCATAATTCATTCAGTTTATATATAATTTACTATGTAAAGTGCCAAAATAATTTGGGATGCCATAATTGAATTTGGGATTTTACTTATAATTATGGCAATCCAAAATAATTTGGGTGGCATGTATAATAGAATCCTAAAAGATCTTTAAGATTTATTAAGAGATTTTTAAGGAATCCATAAAATATTAGATCTCCAAGGATTTTATAGAAATTTACAGAATCCCTAGGGATCTGTATACCAAAAAATTTACTGATGTAATTGTATTATTAATAGGTTCAGTAAGATATTTATCAAGAATTTTTGCTACTATAGAAAACAAATCTTGTCCAGTCATAGAAGAAGTATTTGTTGTAGTAGCTTACTTGTATTTGTAAAACTGATTCTATCGCTCTTTATCTTTTAGCCTTGAATCAAGTCGATCAGCAATCTCACATAAGGTACTATTAGCTTTTAATTGTTGCTTTATAATCCAATTATAACTTTCAACTTTTGCAGTACTTTCAATACCAGCTGTGAAAATTTTATGAAGGTATGTTTGAGCCCAAAATCTAGAATTTTGATCTAATGTACGTAAAAGATAGTCTTTATTTTGCCATTAGATAATTAATAAGTAATTGGTTTCATCTTTGCTTAAATAGTGGTTCACATAAACTATTGCGGCATTGATAGAACTGTTTAATGAAATAGTCCTATTTCTTACCTAATTTTGCTTTCAAATTTTTAGGTAAATTTTGCGTAATATGAAAAATACAGTGAGCTGGATATATTTTAGAAAAAATGATTGGAATTGCTGTATCAAGAACTGGATCAGCATTAGTAAACATCACAATTGGAGCTGTTTCAGTTGCTTTTTTGATGCATTCAAGTATTCACACATGTGTATTAAGAGTAAAGTTACTGGAGAAACTAGAAAGTTTTGGCAAGTTAGCAAAATGCCGAAATAGCGAAATTTTGCCGAAACTATATAAAAGTCTTATTAAAAAGTTAGCGAAACTCTGAAAAAAAGTGAAATCTAACAAAATTTATTATAAATGCCGAAACTGCCAAAACCTTGCCAAAACTATAATAAAACTATAGTAAAATCTTGGAAAAACTAATCGTAGAATTTTGGAGAGGTTTAGGCAGGTAACTTTAATCAAAAGATTCATCACTTACTAATACTTAACAAACTAGATAAGATTTACATTTATTATTAATTATTATGAAAAATTCAAACGGCATTTGATACTGATTTGTTCGAGCTGTATTATTGTTGATAACTACATCATAATATTTAAGTCATAGATTCACCTGATCTGGAGATATCTAAAAAAGACAAGTTAATCTATTGTCTTTATCTAATTCAAAATCAACAACCCAACGTAAGTCTTTAGCCTTCTTTTGCATTAATATTGTAAGTAATGCAGATGCATCATTATTAACTTTATCAGCAATTTGTATTTATAAATTATGTTGACCAAGTCTTGGTCTTGAAAATGCAGATCTGGAAACTGGGCTTTTAAGAGATTCCTTTGCTGTGCTGTAAGTATTAAACTTCTATACTTTGTCATTAACAAAATTTCGTTAAGTGCTTCATTAGTAAATGCTCAATATTTTATTAAAAATTCTTGAGTTTTAGGTACAAATTCATAATTATTTTGATTAACAAATGTTGTAACCCCTATTTGCGTTGCTTGTTTAGGAAAGATAAGATTTATATGCCATGGCCAATTTAATTTTTTTGTTTTGATATTCTGTTGTATTCCTTTTGATGCTGCTTTTACCAATTTTTTGGACTTATATTTTCCACTGAATTCACAAACTAAGGTTCTTTTATAAACTTATTCTTTATTATTTCATTCCATTTTATATTTAACAATTGCAAATCCATTTCTAATACCATAATCATCAAAGTAGCTATCAACTTCGTCCTATGTATTAAATTTGATATCTTTAGGAATATCCTCAGTCTTAACTGTAAGTATCAGATATTTACTATTAGTTAATATGTACTATAAAGATAGTAAAAATACATACATATTTAAGATGTAGTTAATACTTGTTAAATTGTCACTGTTTTTTTTATCTATGTTAATATATTCATCTACATTAATATATTTAACGCCTTTCATTTCTTGTACAATATTATCAATATTAATGGTAACTGAATACATATTCATTAGACTTATAGTATCTATTAAAAAGGAAGATACAAAAAAATTTTTATAGTTTTGGTTTGAGTTTTTTTCAGTTGGTATTAAAATAAGAGAGAGAAACGAAAAATAGTTGTTTGTTTATTTTTATTAAATGATAACTTTACTAGAAATACGAGTTTATTTATAGTATATTTTTTTGATTTATATTAGAAAATGTGATATATCTTAAGTTTTGCTTTACATAAAAATCTTTCATAAAAGTATAAGGAGTTAATTATGTCATATGTTTTGGTTTACATTAGAAAATGCAATATATTTTAGATTTCACATTGCATAAAAATTTTTATAAAAATATAAAGGGCTTTATTAGAACACTTTGAGAAGTTTATTTACAATATTTTTTCAGAAATGTGATGCATCTTAAATCTCACTTTGCATAAAAAATTTGTGTCATGTGTAATCATGTATTTTTAACCAATTAGATTACACTTTATATATCATATTAGATTTAATTGGATCACTCCCGCTAAATATACATTTATCTGTAATTTAATATTTAATATTAATTTAATTCAAAAATTTTTATAAATAAATTTAAAAAAAAATTCTAATATTAATAAAAAAAAAATTAAATAATTATTAAATATTATTTATTATCCCTTAAACGGTAAGACATTACAGGCAAATTTGCTATGATTTTACCAAAATTTCAGCTCTCATTTACTTTTTTGAAGAATAAGGCTATTCCAATAAAAATTTTTTTCTAAATAGTTTGAATATTATATCACATGGTGGTTATCATCATTTTCCAATCACATACTAAAAAATTAAAATTAACTATTGATCAAAACGTTGCATTTTAACGATAACCTAATTTTAAAATAATTTTGTATTTAATCTCAATGGACTCATTGGAATTTAGCTGTAGCCATATCAAACCTTAATAATAAAATGTAAAATAAGTTGCAAGAAATAATTTTTATTATGCTAATTTTTATGATTTAAAAGTAAGATTTCAAAATTACATAATGCCTTAAAAAAAAAATAATTTTTGTAAAATTTATAAAAAAAGTGCAATGTATATGTTACGAAAATTAACTAATTTTAAATAAGAAAAATTAAAATAAAATATCATTTTTAATCATCATCTTTCTTATATATATGAAAATCCTTAAAACAATTACTTCTTTCTTTATTATAATATAAGACTAAATTACATTTTATACAATATAACTGTAATTGAGAAGGATTTTTTGTTGCTTTTTCCTGATTCTTTTTTGCTAAATATTTACACCATATACAACTACTCCTTGTTTCTCTCCATTCTGGAAAATGACCTTCCAGTAATAATCTTTCTATAGGGGGTTCTAAGGTTGCTTGCCGAAACCTAGGGTTTAGGGCTTTAGGCAAGATGGCGTTTTGCCGAAAAGTGAAATTCTATTGAAACTATATTAAAGTTATATTAAAAAACTGGCGAAACTTTGGAGAAAGGTGAAACTGCCAAAACTTATTATAAATGCTGAAACTGCTGAAACTCTGCCGAAACTATAATAAATCTATAGTAAAATTTTGACAAAACTAATCGTAAGATTTTGAAGAGGTTTAGACAAGCAACCTTAAGGGGTTCAAATTTTGCTGTAACATATTGCTGCTTTTTAGTAGAATTAACATAAATAAACTTAAATTGTTTAGTTAATTCATCAACTTGATTTTATGTATGTGGTTTTTTATTACTTCCTCCTAAATCTTTTTTAATTAAGGGTACAGTATGTGTCGATCATTTTTATTATGTATCAGGTGGCTATTTTTTCTAAACACGTGCAAATCCAAAAACTCGGTTTACATATCAACTCAATTATCGTGACATACAAACAAGTTTTACATTTCAAATTTTAGCCTATAATAATATGACACGTAACTGGTATAATTTTATCGTTCAAAAAAATCCTTCCATCTATAAAAGTTACCAAAGAATGAATAAAAGCTGGTTTGTTATTGAAATGTCTTCTGAATTTGAAGTGTTACCTCTCCATAAAGAATTATCGGAATTTTTTTTGCCAAAACACTACTATTATAATCTTGAAAAAACTCTACAACTAAATGCAAATGTTGGTTATATTCATTTGCAAAACAATGCTCATGACGAAAGTTCATGGGTTCCATTATTACCAGATTATACTGTATATACCTCTTTAGCTGGAAATTTTTTCAAGTTATCTATTAAAAGAGTGGAGGATTCTTTGCAATATTTTTGGCAAAATTTTGGCAAAGATTCTACGTTTATTAATTGTAATGCTTAAGGTCAGGAAAAATTAGGGTTTCACTTAATGATAAAACATTATAATTTGAAAAATATATCACTTCCTTCAGTTCTGGGGCTTACCGAACCTACTATAATAGAAATTTTGCAAAAAACAATTCATAAAGTTTTTCCAGATCGTTTTTCCTATCATGGCCAAACTAAAAAAGAAAAAGGTTTAATTCGTAGTCTTAAACGGAAAAGTGATGAACTTGAAAAATTTTGTAGTACTGAAGAAACTATTGTTTGTGGGATAAAATTGGAAGAAAAGGGAAAAATCATCAATCCAAAATTTACACAAGCCCTTATGGTGATGCATGAAAAGGATAAATCGGCATTATATAATGCTAACCGTAATATTAAACGGTTAAAAATCAAGATCGCACAATTTCAAGATGAAAAATCCAATTTGAATAATAAAACTGAAATACTAAACCAAAAATCTGAGAGGATAAAGAAATCAGTAAATGATATATTAGACGAAAAAAAATTAGGATCTACAATTTTAATTAGTACAGAGCAATATCTTTCTCTTATACTTTCTCATCCTTGTAATCATTGTAATAATACCGATCTTCAAAATAAATCTTATCATGTATCATATGTGGGTTTTAATATTACAATTGATGTAAGTTGTCAACTATGTGGTACGATTGATTCATATTCCAATCAATCAAAGGGGATCAACTTTTCGCATCTTATTGCAGCATCAGCTTTGGCAAGTGGTGTTAATCGTCATGCAATGCAAACTGCATTGGCAGTTATGGGTATTACTACTCAAAGTTGCAAACAATCATACCATAGATACCAATCTCAGATGTTTCCCACTATTATATCAAAAGCTGAGGAATCCGCTAGACAAGCACTAGACGCTGCTATGGCTCATGCTAATACAAAGGAAAAAAAATCATTTGTTGTTGGATTTGATTGTTCTTGGTCCCACTCTCGCAATGCAGGACAAGCGAGTGGTGAATTTATTTACTTAGATGATCTTGAAGGTATATTGTAATAAATTTTTTATTTTAATTATTTTCTTAATCCAGCAAATGACATGTTTTAATAATTTTTTAATTATATAATATAAGGTTATGGGCATAAAGCAGTTGTTGCTTTTCATGTAGTAGAAAAATCTCGTATTATTACCAGAAAAGGAAAAGATAGTGCTTCTGAAGAAAAAGTTGTATTACGAAAAGGTAATTTTGAAGCAAGTTCGCGCCAAATGGAACATGCTATTTTAATTGCGCTTTTGGAGCAGATTACTCCAATTTTGGAAGAGTCTGACCTTTTGCTTGAAGTTTGCATTGATGGTGATTTGGATTCTAACAAAACCTTAACAAATGTTCCCATCATTTCAGAGATTTATGCGGATCTCAAGCATGCAAGCAAAAATATTCGAAAAAATTTATGTAAGTTAATTTTTTAATTATTTAAAACATTATTTACTTAATTTTTTATTCATTTAATAATAATAGTAAAAAAACAATATGCGCGTTATCATGGTTTTGAACAACATATAATGAGATATTTTAATGGATGTGTCTTTGCTGCTGGGTTAAGAAAAAGTAATAATGAATCAAATACACCAACAAATGAAGAATTGCGTTATATTCAAGTAGAAGGTTTAATTCAACATTTGCTCAATAATCATGATCTTTGTTGGAAAGAAGTTTGTTGGCATAAAGAAAATGAAGAATTACAATTACAATCTCCAACATTACAATCTTTTACAAAAATAGAGATTGAAGGGTTTCGGAAAATGCTTTTAACAATTTTCAGACTTCCTATACAACAAAGTCTTGTTACTCAATATCGAACAACTTATAATGAAGCTTTCAACCGAAAAATTTTACGATTTCTCGATAAACGAATTGATTATTGGGCTTCTTATAAAGCACGTCATGCTTTAGCTGTTATAGATAATAATGAAGGCCTTAGTTGTATGATGAGCACTGTACGTGAGACTGCTGATTTCAGTTCACATGATCAGCATAATATAAGTAAATTTACTGGAGAACGTCAAAGTGAATTAAATCGTTCTCGAAATATTATAACTAAACGTAACCAAGAACGTGCTACAAAATATGCTAATGAACGTCAAGAATTGCAGGGATTTGATTTTAGTCAGGTTAATTTTCATGTCTAATTATTTTAATTTAATAAAAGTTTTATTATCTAACATACTTTGTGAATTTTATTTGCATATAGGAATTAATTCCATATAAGTACAAGGCAGAGGAAAGAATACGAGCTAATGCATTTTATCCCTCTTTTGGAAAACTAATTGCAGATTTTGATGTGATTATTAAATGTCAAGGTTGTTCTGCATTCCGTAAGAAAACTGTAACTGGTTTATGTTCTTTATGTTCATTTTATGTTTTAGCAGGTTGGTGGGAACGCTTATTGAACAAAAATTATGTTCCTGCTATTAAGCAAAACCTTTTGGATTCAAAAGAAGTAATATTATTAGCAGCAAAACAAGTATTTGGTTATAGTCATTTGCGAGAAGGACAACTTGAAGCTGTAGAGGCATATTTAAAGAACAAAGACACATTTGTATCAATTAAAACAGGAGGGGGGAAAACATTTTGTTACGTAATTTGTGCATTAATTTTTGAAGGTATAACAATAGTTATTAGTCCACTGAAAGCCTTGATGGAAGATCAAAAGGCAAGTCATTGTTTTAATTAATTGATTTTTGAAAAAGTTGCTTATAATTATTATATATTAGCGAGAGTTAGTGCATCTTGGTATACCTTGTGCTTCAATTTATGCAAATACAGTACAAAGCAGAAATGAACAAGGCAAAATATTTGAAGAAATTGCACTTGGATTTACAAAAATTATATTCGTTACTCCTGAAAAACTTTGCTTAAATAGAGAATTTCAACATTTTATTAGTAATATGTATAATACGGCAAAAGTGCGTTTTGTGATTGATGAAGCTCATTGTATTTTAGATTATAGTAACTTCAGGTAAATTATTTATGAAAATATAAAAATGTTGTAATATAATATTATTTAAAATACGCATATATTAATATATATTTTTCTAATAGGGAATCTTGGAAAAAATTAGGAATATTGAAAAAAAATTGGCCTTTGGCTCCTATTATGCTTTTAACTGCTACATGTACATATCAGGATGCTCAAGACATTCGTACATCCTTTGGAATACCATCAGAAAACTTTGCCATGATCCGAGGTTCCTCTTTTGAGCGCAAAGAAATAACTATAGAAGTTTATAAAAGAAAGGATAATCGTGAACTATTTTCAAATGACCTTATGAGTTTAATTAAAATGCACGAAGGAGAAAAGACTATTATTTACTGTGCAACACAGTCAGGATGTGATGATCTTTTTGCAATACTGCAATTACTTTTACCAGATAAAAATATAGGTATATATCATGGTGGATTAGGAGACGAACAACGTGAAAGTATTATGTCATGTTGGAAAAATGGCAAAATTCAAATAATGATTGGAACTAATGCATTTGGAATGGGTATTAATTCCACTAATGTTTATCTAGTAATACATTGTGTAGCTCCTTTGAATATGAGTAAGTAAACAATATCATAATTGTTTCTAGTGTATATTTTGTTGACATTTTTTATATCTAGCAAATTTAGTGCAACAAATTGGACGAGCAGGACGTGATGGTAATAAAGCCAAGAGTATTATATTTTATTCAATAAAAAAAGATTTAAGAACAAATTTTGGAATCTTGGCTGAAAATCGGGAAACGTGTGTATTATATAATAATAAAAACAAGTTTATATCATAAAAAAAATATTTCACTTTCCACATGATTTTAATAAACAAAATAACTTGCACAAAAATTACATGATCCTAAAATTATGAATTTGACTGTTTGTTACAACCTACTAGATTCTTTAATATTCAAAATATGACTGATCAAGAATGTGAACGAAAACGTTACCTTGATACTGGAGCACACAAAATTCGCGAAGTTCTTCTATTTTGCCGAAATCAATATGAATGTCGAATTCAACTAATTAGTCGGTATCATTTTTGGAATGGTGATAATATTCCTTCTCCTTGTTTGAAGTGTGATAACTGTAAAAATCGGATAAAAGAACAGCCTACTTATGAGAATTGCATAGAGGAAGTTTTCCATTTATTGGAAATTATTGAGGAAATGAGTAATAATAACTATGAGATTACTGAAGATGATGTGGTGAAAGTTTTTTGTAAATCAAATACTAAAAAGATTCGAGAATCAGGTTTGAATGAGTTAGAAATATACAAAAGTGGTCGGAAACCAAAATTTGGAAAATCAAAAGAATTTTCTGGTTATATACTTGCAGATTTAATAGTACGTGGTTATGTAGAACAAAAAACTTTACTTCATTATTCTTCACCAAACGCCCAAACCTTATCGGCAAGCGTGTTTATAGAGGGACTTACGACTGAAGCAAAAGCTAGAGTTATAGAAGATTCATAGTATTATTGGGTACATAGAAAATAAATAAATATGTATTTTGCTTTGTAAAATGTAATAATAAAAAAGTATAAAAGAGAAAAATGAATTTTGAAAGTGGGTTTACGCGAAAATATGTATATTTTATTTAGTATAGGTCTATGTGCTAACTTATAAGATGAGTCGAGCCAACAAATTGGCAACAAATAAAATCTAAGATTTCATATTCGCAAAAACATAGTTTCATATTCGCAACTTTATATGAAGATTTTTCCAAGTTTTTTTTTAAAGAATACAGTTTCTTAAGTTAAAAAATGAAAGTTCAGAACCGTGGCTTTCTAACAGTATAAAATTTATCCTTTTATGTTAGATATTGCAAAAGTTTGAATTTTACAGAAAATTGTGTGACTATGTAACGTAAATTTTGCACATCAATTACTATGAAATTATCACGTGACATACTGCACCCTTAAATTCCATAATAATTGTATTCTAAAATCCTTTTAATTAACATTTTTATCAATTTTTTTAATATTAAGTATGAGTTAATTAAAGCAGTATCTAATAACCAGAAAAATAACGGCATTCACGTTTTTCGTATTGGTAATTGAGTACCATAATATCCTCATAATTGGTCAGCAATATCCACTCCATCCATAAAGTTATTGTAATCATCAATTATAACAAGAATGGGTAAAGATTTTTTGCTTGCAGTCCCAAAAACTACTTGAACCTTAACTGTATTAGTACTTGTTTTATATGGTCTACATTAAATTCTCTCAATTCAATTTTTATTTCCATTATCAATTTGGTGAATAGTTGAAAGCATAGTAACTAGGCTATTATCTATCCACAAAATGGCCAACACATTATCAACAACTACCCCAGAAAGTGTATCCCAGTCCAGTTTTCTGTTTATTTTAAAAATATGTGAAAAATTAGCACTATTTTTGCGAACAGTTTTACATGTTTCAATTTTTTTTTTACACAAATATTTAAAAAGCTTAATACTAGAAAAATAATTGTCCATATAAATATTGAATGATTTATTTTCTGTTGGCAATTAAGAAACAAGATGATACACTTCATTACCCATTTTACTTAAATCTGGTACTTGTTGAACTTCAGGCTGGTTTTGAATTCTGGAAGTAAAAATAAAAGAATATGTATAACTAGCATACACAGAGAGAGAGAATTTTGTAGCCTTCTGGGGTGGGTTTATTTTTAATTCTTACAATATAAGTATTTTTTTCTAAAATCTAACTATTATCCCATCAACTGAAATATCTAATAATGGCACACAGATTGATTTGAAAATTGTTTAGATATGAGTTGCTAAAGGATCTATTTTAGAATACCAAAATGGAAGCTGAACAGTGCAATCTGAAATATGCATAAAATGTTTAATCTAAATATATTAACAATAGTTTAAATTAAGTTTTAATTAATTTAATAAAAATATTAATATACATAATAACAAATATCTGTTCAAAACAAACTAGAAACATAAAAGTTGTAATTTTATGTTTAGGAAACTTATTATCTCTATTTTAATCATCTTGAATACTAGGCAATTTAAAAACGTCTGCATATATTAGAATTGCCAACCAAATTCTAAACTCTTTTATTGTTAATTCTTTCCATTTACGTCCTTCTCCTGCATCCTTCATATAAGCATATTTATTTGTATTTTTAACAATTATTTTTATTTGTTTAAGAGAAAAAAAAGAGAAAAAAAGTTAAGTAAGGTGATAGTAAAAGAAAGTTATTAGGTAAATTTATGGTAAATTTATGTAAAGGTTTAGTATGTTAAAAATTGTCAAAAAAAGGTGGTGGTGGAAGTTGTGCAGCTTATTCTCTATTATCCTTTTCACTACTGCTATTTCTTGCTCTACCCTGACCTCTATCCTGACCTCTACCTCTATTACCATCTTTACCACCAACATTCTCTTCATTTTGAATTTCTTCAACATTATTATTACTATCGCTATTATTGTCTTGTTCATCAGTAATATTATAAATATTCTGAAAAAAATCAACAATAAACAAATCCTATTTATCATTCATTAGTATCCATAGTGAAAATAAAAAAAATTAAACAAAAAATAATGAAAATAATGAAAAAAAAATGAAAAATCTTTGGACTTTAAAATTCCAAAATTCTGAGGTTTGATAAGCATTTTTACAGGTCAAATACTGGTTTAATTTTAAATGATCAGCCAATTTTTTAACCATACATTTGATAGCTAAAATACAGTCAACTCCCTCTATAGTCACTCCCATTATAGTTACATTCTACTATATAATCACACCAGTTGAATGTTCAAAACACTTTATTATTAAAATCTATCCTATATAGTCACAATCTATCTATAATCACTATCACACCTATCCTCAAAAATCTTATATTTAAAAAAACCGTTTATAATCACAGTTATATAAAGAATATATTAAATAACTTGGCATCTAATAATCGTACAAAGATGTATCATAGCTTGTTAGAATCGTCTCACTGAGACGAATCGAATGGTGGTAGTTTTATCCTTTTATGATCACTGGCTGATGAATTATTCGACAAAATGTTAAGCATCGGCATTATTATATTTCTTGATTTACGTTTACTGCACCATTTAACATTTTGCTAAATTTCTCGGTACTTAGTGATTGTAAAAAGACGATTAATAGCTCGTTGGAATCGCCTTATCAAGACGAATCGAATGGTGGTAAGCACATCTCTCTGTGATCAATATTAACGGAGTTACTACTTAAAAACCATTTAATATTTTTTAATTTCGGAAATTGATCTAGTGATTGGATTTCGATGTATTTTATACCATTAGATTCGTCGCATCAAGACGAATCGAATGGTAGTAAGATCGTCTCTTTAGGATCAATATTGGCAGAGTTATTACTCAAAAACCATTAATATTTTTTTAATTTTAGAAATTAATCTAGTGATTGGATTTCGATATATTTTATACCATTAGAACCGTCTCATCAAGACTAATCGAATGGCGGTAAGATCATCTCTCTATGATTAATATTGGCGGAGTTATGATACAATAAAGTTTTAAGTATAATTTTGGCCAAAATTATGTTAATTTTTGGCCGGAATTATGATATACTAATATAAGAAATTTTTTATATAGTCACATCTCTTTATAATCACCAAATATGGACTGTTCCAAATGTGTGACTATAAAGAGAGTTGACTGTATTGTAGTACAATATTGCTGTAAAATTTTATGATAATCTGGCTTTTATTGAAAAAGTTTTATATGACAGATGTTTTTTTTTTAATAAATTGCAGGCAAATTTGCCTACAAAACCATTTAAGAAATAATAAATAAATAATTTATTATATATATAATATTCATTAGCTATCCATTCTATTAATAATAATTAATTAATTATAATTTATCAGTAAAATATTTATTTATATATATAGATTTGTAGCAATTATATATAAATTTAATTAAAATTTAACTAATTTAATATATTTTTACTATTTTAATTATTTATAAATTATTAAATTTTAGTTTTTTACTTTAAATTACTAGAGATAATCATTATCATTGACCAGAATTATCAATTTTCACTGGCACTATATTTTTTTAATGCTAGTTGATTGTTATAATTTCAGTTACTAGTAAAGATGGTCATTGATCCTAAAAAACCGTGATCTTATGGTTCTACACCATAAAAAAACAGACCGGTCTGTCTTAGTGTAGAACTGCGGTTTTTCAGTTCTGTATTACATATAATAAGACCATCAGTTTTTTTAAAAACTGCAGTCTTTTTAAGACTAACCGGTTTTTTTTCTTTTTTTTTGCAAATAAAAAAAATTTTTTCCCTAAACTTTATTAAAAATAGCCTTGTTTTTATAAATAAACCATAATCAAGATCTTTTTAATATACAAAATTTTTTTTACAAATCACCTGAATATATCATCATCATATATATCATGCACTTACTATTATCCAAAGAATGTAATTAATATAGCATAGTAATATTATTGTAGCATAATAGTTAATGTAATTAATGTAATTCATATAATAAAAATAAATGATTAAAATGTAATTTTAAAAATCATTAATTAATACTTAAAATTAAGTATATTACAAGTATTTTATTAAAATATACTATATTTTATTGCTATACAAATACATTATATTTATCAGTTAGTGTTTATCAAATATAAGGTATATTAGAATTTATTTAAAAAGCACTTGAACTAAATATCCCTAAAGTATTTAGCAAGTACTTGGTAAATGCTTTGACTAATTCATGATGAAGTCAATTCAAAAATGATTGCTAGTTGTGTGAATGAAATCTTCTTGACCATGGATACTACTTCAGCTCATGATTTTAACTCAGATAACTTCAACACTAATGAATCTGATTCTGATGCCAATAAATCTGATTCTGATGTATATTTCAAATCTAATGACTCTGACTCCGATGATGAGTATGATCACAAATTTTATAAAAGGCTCCAGTGTAAAGAAATGGCTTGATTAGCAAAGTTAGAGAAAAAAACACTAAGCCTGCTGATGATGATTTTGATAAAATACTCATGGAAATCCATGAGAACCATGATATATATTTTGATAATTCCATACCTCAGTTAGTAATGAATCCTATTATCTCTCTGGTAACTGCCTAGGAGAATTATTAAGCAAAATCACATATCCACATAGACTGAATTATCATATAGGTTATTTCTTTTTTTTTTGAATCACATGGGTGGCTTATCCAAAAGAGACTGTGGTATTCTAAACCTGATCACCTGAAATACGCAGAAGATATTCAGTAAAATTCTTGCTGGCTTTCTATCTGCAAAAGTATATAATGTGCAGTATATGTTATTCACAGTGAGACGTCATTGAATTATTAGCCAGTAGATCCTGCTTCTATTGGTTGGAAGCGTGAAGAGTCTTCACGATTATCATATGACACAGCATGTATTGGCAAACTTTAGGAAAAAAATGAATATTATTCAAAAAAAATAATCGTGTATAATAAATAGTCTAAAGTCATAGAATGTCCCGCATCATGCAATTTATTTTAGCTTAATGTATTGCAAATAAAAAACGTAAGTGACCCGAGCAATGTAGTCAAATATTTTTCTCGTGGCAATTCAATGTACTGTACATACTAATTTTTTATTGCTCGCATGTTAATACAGGTAATTTAGGAAATCTGGATCGGCAAATTATTGGGCAATAAGATTGCCAGCGAAGATCCAGGGACTTTATTCTCAAACTTTCTCGCATATTCTCAAAATTATTATAAAAGGACCCCTTGATGATCTTTACATATGGACAGCGTTAAATTCTTTTATTGTTATATTAAGGAGAGTCCGTTGATCAGATTCTCATGATGCGATCATATTAACGTAATTTTCCCCAAAAGCGTATTCCAAAATCGATCCTGTAAATTATATATGTCCTAGTTAGTGAATCCTTTTATCCGCCTCATGCAAGTAAAATAAAACTAATAAAACCAATCTAACTTACCATTATATGCATCATTGATATTAACAATCAAACGAACTCTTATTTTCCACACAGTAATAATAAAGTAAGTTGTTTATTGCTCGACTAACTTCTTGAACCATACCAACATGATGTTAATCGATTTTCCCGCCTCTATAGATGTTCCAAAATAAAAGCGGACATATTACTTTTCTTGTTATATATCGGCGTTTTGATCTTTGCCGAGAAAATCTTTGACAATCATCACGCGTATAATAGGCGCAGTGAACTTATTCACAAAGTTTTGCGCAGTACATCAAGCATCTTCACGTGCCGAATTCTTAATGTTTGGCGCAGTATCGTACTGGTGATAAAAAAATTTCAAGGCGTTTTTTTTTATTGCGCAATGAGATACCATTTTAATCTGCACAGGAATTTCATTTCAAACTTTGCGTTTTTTTACTCGCGAGATGAGATAAGGGTCGAACTAGGACTTTCATTTCAAACTTGGCGTTTTTAATCTCCGCAGATAAGGTCGAATTAGGAATTTCATTTCAAACTAGAATTAGGAACTTGCTTTAATGAATCGGGAATCCCTAATCTCTGTAACATTAATTATAGATAATCTATAAAAGATTATGAGTCACAGCGCCAGATGTGATTAACAATAAAGATAGGGGCAAGGGCTATAAATACCAGCATTTTTAACTCTTCTCATAATATTAGGTTCCTAAACTCCATAACTCTTAATAATCAAAGAAAAGAAACAAAATTATGACAACCCCAAACTATACCACAAATTCAAAATCCAATTCTAAAGCAAATGGAGTTGTGAGAGGTGCATACGGAACTCAGCTTCCTCTTTCTTCTGTGACGAAGTCTAGTGAAAAACCGAAAAAAGCAACATCGTCAGTTATCTTTACCTCCAAACCTGTTCCTAGTGAAAAAAAATCGAGGTATCCGTATACATCGTCAGGTTCTGGTAACGTTACCTTTACCCCCAAACCTGATAATTCTTCTTCCAACTCTAACAGATGAAGACAGTTCCAAATTGTTAATATACGGAAGAAAATTTTGTTTATTGAAACATGAATATTTGTATTTTTTTTTTATAATTAGTTATTATGTGTACTTTTATTATATAGTTATTATGTAATTTCAATAATCAATTACGACTATTAGGATTTTTTTATTTATACTAATAGATTTAGGTTATTTACTGCATGTTACATTTATGAATAACTTACCGTAACATCTATCAAATGTATTAGTCTTGGATTTATTGAAATATCATAATAAAGTATTATCTTTCTTGTTTAATATGTGTATGTTACATGAGATGTGGAATGAATCTGTAAAATCAGCAGTGATGTTAAATGACATTGTCATTTGGCTAATTTTCAAATGACTTCAAATGATATCTGGCATTTAAAAAAAATCATTTGCAAATGATAAATGACAAAATGACACGTCATTTTTAAGTAACAATTGCGACAATTGTGCACATAATTAATTTGTTGATCATAACTCCAAAAAGCATATTGATAATATCCAAAAATAGCTTGCAATGTATATTTAAATTTGGGAAGTCTTCTGTTAATAATGTTAATAATGTGATTCAGGAGTCAAAAATTTAGGAGATATGCGACACAAATTTATTATTTGTTTGTTGAATCTAAAGATTTATCGATCTCTTTTTTCACACTTCACATTCTCAGTTTTTTAAAGCATATTTCGTATTTCAGTATATACTAGTTAATAGTTTGTAGGAATTAAAATGGGCAAAGAAAAGCACAATTTTCGTGAATTTTTTTTTCATGTATAAGAAAGCATACTTTGCTTCTTGCCACTTCTAAACCTGAATGTCATGTACCTAATAAAGCAATATTATGTCGTAATCATTTAAAAAAGTGTGAAAATTTTGCATCTGAATATCATGAGTGAAAGGCAAGAAATTTTGTCACGTAAAGTTCCTGAAGATGAAAAAAAGAATAAAGGAACACCAATATTAGATAATGAAAAGAGTGTAGAAACTGCTAAATTTACCAACACTGTACCATCTACCTCTTCTGTTATTAAACAAACAACTTTATCAAGATATGTATCATGCCCATTGTCTAAGAAAGATAATCATCATTTTGAAAATCTCATATTATTAATGATGGTATCAAATGGTTTATCATTTACTTTTCTGAAAAATAAAGAGACACAAGAGGTTTTTAGATTTATTGCACCTGCATTGAAACTTCCAGGACGTCATGCTATCAGTAATCGTATTCTCTCCAAATCTGCGAAACAATTAACCCAATCAATTGTAGAGCAGGCAAAAGCTGATGTAATTGGTGTTACTGCAGCTTTTAATGGCTGGACTAACGTGAAACAAGAACATCTTTTTGGAGTCGTATTTATTACTTCATCTGGCAAAACATTAATTTGGGGGTTAAAGACATTAGCGATCAACGGTCTAAAACTGATGATGTTAAAGTGTTGATTAAAAGCTTGATGAATAATGCTGAATTAAAACAAATAAAAATTAACTGCTATGTTTCTGATTCTGCTGGAGAGTATGCTGTAGCAAGGTAAATATTATTTGATTTTGTAATTAAAGGTTGTAGATTAATACAATTTTATTTTATTTTTTTAGACGCCAATTAAGAATAGAATATCCAAATAAGGTATTTTTACCTTGTATGGCTCATCAAATGAATTTGGTTGTAGGTGATATTTTTAAGGAATCACTTCAAACAAGTATCAAAAAATGCAGTTCGTGTTGTAAGCTATTTTCATTCTTCTCCATATTTCACTGGATTATTAAGAAATGAACAAAATTCATGTTATGGACAAACAATAGCATTGATAACTCCATATGAAACACGCTGAAATAGTTATTACTTCTGTTTTCACAGTATCATTTTAAAAACAGAATTAGCCTTAAAGATATATTTTCGGCAAATCACCCGATTTCTGATGATTAGTTCCTAATCGGCCATTTTTTTTTTTATTATTTCAGACCTTAATTACAAAATGTTCATCTGAACGTATTGGAACACCAAGTACAGTACTTCTCAAACTGGAATATCTCGTCAATGTTATAAAACTAATACAAATAATGAAAATAAGTGTCTCCCATCTGATATAATTGAAATTATTAATGATCCAAAGTTTGGACTCAATTATTTGAACTACAAAATTTATTGTTACCGATATGTGGTGCATTGAACAAATTACAAAGAGATGTTTCTCGTTTATATGAAATTACACATTATTTTGGTTGGATAATTAAAATGTTTTCCTCTCACAAGGATAAAAAATTTGGTAATTGCATGATAGGAAAATTGGAATCACGTTGGGCACAATAGGAACAGCCTTTATTGTTTCTTTCAGTTGTTCTTCATCCAAAATATCGAATTTCAAAATTTAATTCTTCTAATAAAAAGATTTCTTATACACATTTTGAACAGTGGCTCATATATTACTATCAAGCATGGTTTAATGAAATGCCAACAAGAATTTTTCGGGATTATTTATCATATCAGCGAGAGTTATTCCCTTTTAATCCTGAAATTTATAATCAATTTGAAGAAAATATTATTGATTTCTGGGAATCTGCGTTAATGCAACTTCAGTAGAGTGCCTTTGGTAAAATATGGGTTTTTTGCATTCAAAACACCGAAATCGGCTACATATAAGTATATTTTATATATTTACTCAAATGATTTATTGTGCAAAATCAATACTAATACAATTTAATATTTTGTAGCATAAAAAAGTCTTGGTTATGACTCAATTGTGAAGTGATATATTATGCAAAAGAAAACGTAAAGAAATAGAAATTTCTGAAAGACAATATAAACAATTGCTTGCTGAACCAATACAATAATATGAATCAGAAGATGATGATGAAAACAATGATGATAGTGAATTTACATTTAATGCTTTTAATGATAGTGATACTGAAAAATTAGAAGAAACTTCTATTATTAATGATTGTAATGTTAATGATACCTTTGAAAAATATGACAATAATAATATTCTTAATCCTGAGCAATAGACTAAAATAATTGAAAGTTGGATTAAAATAGTTAATACAGAAAATGATTCAAATAATTTAGATAGCAGAGAAGTTGAGCCTTATGATTTTGAAGTAGGAGGGCATGATACTCAACCAGTTCCATTAGCTAAATGCAAATTACTTGAATTGTTTAATGATTCTTTAGAAGCTTCAATTTATATGATATGATTCAATAATAAATTTTAAATAAATAAATTTACATTTTAAATGATACTAAATGATTATCAACTGAAAATAATAAATATATTAATTAATTTTGGCCGGCATTAAAAATCACATGATATAATTTCAAATGACAAATATTGCTTATCATTTACTCTCCGAAATGACATAATGTCATGTGTCATGTCACTAATGTTATTTGTGTCATTTCATATTACTTTACATCACTATTCAAAGCTGGATTAATTTCATTAAATTTGGCAATTTTTTGTTTGAGAATTTCATATGACAATGATCCAGGATCACGCTTACTTATAATAAAGGTCATCGTAGAAAATTGACCCTTTACTAATAGTTTTTACCTTACTTTTTTCTTAAATTCTATTGGTTAATTAGCTAAAAAGGAAAAAAATCATAACAATGTAATATAAAATTTCATTTTATAGTAGGATCTGCAAAGAATTTTATATATGATTTTTACCTTAGGCCTGGAGGTGACCTATCTTATAAGTAAGCGGGGTCCTCAACAATTCCCATGAATATCGCTGATATAATAAATGAAAAAACAGCAAATAAAACTAAAAATAGCATGCTTTCTGAAGAGTTGAATAATGTCAAACTTAGAGCTCCTAATGAGTCAAGTTGAGTCGAGTCACGAGTCAAAAACCTTAATTTTAAAGTACTTTTTATTAAGTTAGAATATAATTAAACGAAAATTTACAATTATGTGAGTCAAAAATGCGAGTTTATGCGAGTCATTTTTGGAGCTCTAGTCAAACTGGATATGATACAGATAGAGTAATGTGTAGTAATTTTATTATAAGTTTATTAGTAAATCAAGTTTTTTTTAAATATTAATTTTTTTTAATATGCAATTCTTTTATGTAAATGCACTGGAAAAAAAGTTTATTTTATACTGTATACCTACTACATGTGAAAATGAGAATTTAACCTGATTTATTAATAAAAATATATTACTTTATTATGTATATTATCATAACTACAATTTTTACAATTATATTTTTTTTCAGTTAAAATAATAATAACAGCCTGAATCCCTCTCTCTGAATTGTAATAATAGTGCTTAAAAGAAAATCTGAAGAATTATAATACTTAATATAACACTAATGGAATAATGCCATGTCTCAAAAATTTCTGTTTATTTTTAAGATCTTTTGCGAAATAGAAGATCGCATGTAGTACATCTTTGTTTGAATTTACAACCCCCTATTTCAATTGTAATAAAAAATCAGAATATTTGTTTATCATGAATCAAGATCTATAGATGACAAATCATACTAATTCCTATTCAAAATAGATTAATGTATTATTAGCTATACACATAATTTGAATGTACTAATATCAGTAGAATAATAAAAATATATCATTTATCTGAGAATATGTAAATCATAGATTTTAATTTTTTTTTAACAATACCTTATCTTATGATCTGCATATAAATCAGGATGTATTTTTTTTATTAGTAATTCAGAACTACATAATGAAATAGAACTAGAGTTACAATCCACAAATAATCTGTTAACTGTTATCTGAATCTGTCAGATTAGTTTGGTAAAAAATATCTGAAAGTCAGATAATTACATCATCTGGATATCCTTAACAGATTATCTAGATCATCTGATTATTAAACATAATTCTGGCCAATTATGTAGTGCCAGCCAGAATTACAATAGCAATAGTTATATAATCTTAGATAAAAGGTTTAGCTATTGAATAAGTTATATTATACAAAATTTTTGCTAATTTTTTGTGTTATATGATATTATACAAAAATTCATAATTTTAGCCAGAACTATGAATTTAGTCCAATTTAAGTTCAAGATATCTTACAGATATTTAAAGGAATTATCTGAATGATTTGTTACAAATATCCTTCATCTGTCTTTATTTGATCTGTCTACAAAATTTTTATCTATTATCTGAAAATATTGGGATATTCGGTCATAGATACAGATGGAAGATAGATAGATTGTAATACTAAATAGAACATACCAGAACTTTAGGAAAAATTCATCAGTATAGCAACACAAAAATATTGTTCTTGGTTAGGGTTATTAATAGATTCATTTAAAAATAAAGCTTTTGCAGTCCACTTGATAAATGACATAATTAAATCACATGCCTAATACTAACTGCAAATATAATTTACATAAACTAATTACATATTACTACACATGAAATATGCAAAGCTAAGCCACTCATTTAATTTAAAAAAAAAAATGAGTAACAAAGTAAATAAAGTAGTAATAATAATTCTCTTAAGCAGTTACCAGAGAGATAATAGAACTCATTATTGGTAAAACCTTCTTTTCATATTTTTCATCATAATAGTAATAACCTTTATTACATTTACCATATTCATTAGTATATTAACCATATCCATCATATCCATCATTATTGTCTGAATCATCTGGTATCTCTTTTTCAGAATTATTAGAATTAAAGGCATCATTGATTGAATTGGGATTGCCATTATTTATATTAATAAGGTCTGAAAAATTAAAATTATAAAATACAGGAATAGGTAAAGTTGATTCACTTACCTCAGCTAAAATTATCTTTGATGCATTAATCTAATTATCTGAAATCTTCTCTTTAGAATTAATAATAGAGTCATCTTGATCATCAGATAATTCATTGTTAGGATTTTTGAAAAAATAATTAATAATGGTTTGAATCTGATTATCAGATAATTTTGCAGTAGAATTTACATTTCACACTATATATTTTAATATATTTGATTTATTAATTTCCTATTTTTTCAGTAAACTCATAAACCTTTTTGGTTCTATTGATGCATTGATATAAAGTATTTCATTTGGTGTCAGAATTGTATGCAAAAATAAAATCGTAAATCAATCCTTTAGTTTTTTTTATGTTACCTTTTCTTTGATCATAATTTTATTTATACTATTATCCAATCCTATAATAAAATTTCTTCAGTATAAAATTTTCATCTGATTAGCCTTTATCTTCAGTACATTGCATTCTCATATAAGCAGTTTATATTTTACAATACATCTAAACTTAATAATTTTATTAAAACCCTCTAGGACTCTATCTTTTTCTAGCAATTATTTTTTTTATGGCTCGTAAGTGAAATTTCAGTTATATGTTTTTTTTTCAGATCCATCTATAGTAAAATCAAATACATCCTGCACAATATTTTCTATTTCTTTCTTTTTATATATATGATTGAAATTTTTTATTTACAAAAGAGGTGGGTCCTTTTAAGATACTTAAGTTTTTAATAGACGATTTATACAATAATTTCTTTTTCCTATTCCTCTACCTAATTTCATTACTAACCTTTTCCTTATCCATTTTATCTAAGAAAAAATCCATTTTCTTATCTTTTAATAATTTAATATTCACATTATTATTAGATGCTAATATTTTTAGTAATATTTCTAATATTGCTTCCTTATTATTTTATGGTTGTCTATTCACTACTACAATTCTTTTCTACCATCATAAGCTTAATCTTAAGCTCTAAATTTTTCTGCTTTAATTTCTTTATTTTAGCATCATGTCTTTCATTATATTTCTTATTTGCTTTTAAAAACTCAATATTCCTATGCTTAAGTTAAAGCTCCGAATGGTTCGGGCTAAACTGGGAAACCGATCTGAAACTGGCTCAAAATTTGGTTCGGTTCAGTTTGGGTATTAGAACCAAAAAACTGGCGGTTCAAGTTCGGTTTAATCCGATTTTTTATAAAAATGCAAAAAATCGAATAGCCGGCCATCTAGTGATCATACAAAGTCGAGCCATATATCATTGGATCCTTATGACGAGACGC